AGCACATTTAACCAGCAGACATGCAGAGTTGCAAACAGTGCAAAGCAGGCACAAGACTAAAGAAACAGAGAATTTAAAAAAAAACAAAGTATGATTAACTTTGAACTTTGAACTTTGGATTTAGTAATTTAAGTTCATAACTTCATATGTAACTTAAAAGTTCGAGCTTTGCAGTTCAATTCAGAACCTCAGAGTCTTCAGACTGGCAGCACTGTCAGTGCTCTCTCTCTCTCTCTCTCTCTCTCCCCCCCCCCACCCCCTCCCCCCCAACGGGCAGGAGCAGTGGGCGCCACGTCAAAACGGCCGCTTTGAAATTGCTCGGGCCTGTGCGAAACCCGCCACCTCAAAAACCTGCAGCGTCTGGTGTCTGGACCTCTAGGCCATGTCTGGTGTGGGGTGAAAGGACACTTCAAAATCACCCCATTATTTTTCGAGGGGCGGCTAGGACCCGACAAAAGTCCTGGGACGCCCCTTTCTTTTTTTTGATTTTTGCCCCAGGGGCCTCCATCCAGACATGGGGACCGGACACCGGACACCGGACTGTCTGGAACCCGGTCCGGAAGTCCGGGCGGTTACCATGTAGAGAAGTCGTCTTTTTTTTTTCTTCCCTTTCCTTTTTTAAGTCGCAAGGGTTTTGCTTTTGTTGGGAAATGAAATGCTATGTTTGCATGTGAGTGCAGACTTTTTTTTCTTTTTTTTTTGATACAGATTTACAGTCTGTCGCTTTCAACCACTTGGCCACTCTCCCGAAGAAGTTGCTTTCCCACCCTACAGCCGTCTGCCTGATTTTTTTCGTTCTGTTACGATCCTGGCCAATTTCGAAGTCCACAATCATCAGAAGGTACAATGTTGTCCAATTGCGAAAAGAAATGAATGAACTTGAGCCCAATGCTGTCCAATTGCAAAAGAAATGAAAGAACTTGAGAGGAGAGAGAGGGAAAGAAGAAGAAGAAGAATCAAGAAAGAAGTAAGAGATAATGTACTCCAGCATAGACCAAAGACAAAGCTCTTCTTCTTCGCTCAACAACCTCCTCCTCTTTATCTCCTCCTCTCTTATTCAAACAAAAAATAAACAATAATAATGTTGAACGGCTGAACCAGAATCAATGTCCGAATCCCAGTTCTACTGCAGGCACAAGATGAGGTCCACCATAGCCATGGCAACCCTTCTTCTTCCTCTACATACAGGCCGAGGCTATGGTGAACTATTGAGGCTTCAGCCTCCTGTCCAAAGGACCACTCAAAGCAGCTATGCCGCTGCTGCACTTCAAGGTCATCACCATGCAGCTATGCCGCTGCTCACTCAGTCACCATGCCCGACTCTGTCCCGAGCTTCCTTGATGCGGCACTACCCCCACTGGGGCCTTCCTGATACAGCGCCTAGCAAGGAGATGAAGATGGTGTCTACCATAGCCAGTAAGTGCCTCGCCACTCTCCTCCTTCGTCCCCTTCTCCCTCCTCCTCCTACCGGTAGAGCTCCACCATAGCCAAGGTGGAAGCTCCCGGCTTCTTCCTCCCAGCAGCGCTGTAGTGCCCAGCGCTACTCCAGCCAGCGCTCCAGCAGCGTGACGCCCAACTAGCACACTGAAGAATGAGGCTGGGCTCTCCGCCCTGCCTCTTGATATAGCGGCCTACTTGCCTCCTAGGCGGTGACTTCCAGGCCGCTCGGCCTCTCCAAGCAACCGGTACTTCCTCCGTTTCCGAGGGAAACATCATTGCAGACCCTGATATTACCCGTACAGGCTCTAGACTCAGACTGGTTGGACTGGTACCGGCCTAGACCTACCCTACCGCTACTGGACTCTAAAAATGCCATCTTTGTCTTTTTCTGCTCGGCCTCCAGTACCCCCTCACGCCAACTGCAGTGGGTTGCAGTATCGGCCTACCGGCCTACTGGAGTGTTTTTCCGCTACCCCAAGGGCCTCGGGGCC